GTTGTTTATATGCAGCGAAACTTCAGTATGCTATACTATTTGATATGGCGATGAATTTTTACTTAATAAGCAAATGCAATTAGGTTAATAAAATTTTTATTTTTTTTCATGTTTCTTTGTTCAATTATTTCCAGTGATCTGCAAGTGTCCTTATATTTATGACCAGTGAGTGTACGTATTAGCTGAGTTACATTTACTATAGCTATTTTTATCTGCAGCTACTAATATATAGTCATCTGAGACCTAGGGTTTTTGTCGCTAATGCTAGGCATGCCTTGAAAGCATAAATGGAGATTTGATTCCACTGGTCAAAATTTACAATTACCGAATAAATAATCACGTTTATAATCCAGAAAAATGCAATGCAAAATGGTAAAAAATGCAGAAAAAGAAATTTTATTGATTAATTAACAAGCATTCTTATTGAAATATAAAACATTTCAATAGATCTATTAGAAAGTGCATGTTTAAAATATTTTTATGATTGAAAAACTACGTTCAACATTTACACCAGATATTGGCAACCAAATGTAAGCTTGGTAAAGTAATTTTTTTTCTCGCCAATATGAAAATTCATATCATAGATTTCATCGAGATCACAATAAATATTACATTCTAATGTTTATAAGCTCATGACATGCATGACAATTTAAATCAAAATAGATTGATTGCTTATTATTATTTTGTAATTTGTTCAACATTTCATTGCTAAATGACGGATTATTTATTTAACATAGCTCTTGTTTGATCTAATCTTGATGCTATACAAAGAGCTAACGGTTTATTCCTGATTCATAAAAAGACAATAATGAATAATTAACATTTTTATATGAATAACTTTAAATTTGCCCAATGTTAACAAGGTCTTTAATTGCCTTACTACTACCATCTATTGCTGATTCTTCGAGAAAAAACTTGCAAAATGACCAAGATGAGGACACAACCAGAAGACAGATCTAGACCAAGAGCGCCGCCTTTTTTTACTGGAAGTACTTTTATTTTGTGCTGAGGATGTTGATATTGAAGAAGAAATTGAAGTCAATAATGATGTTGTTGTCGGTGATGATGATGTTTCAAATTCTAATTCAGTTGGAAATAAATGGTAAGTGGTATATCTGTCAAAGCAAATACTTTATATTTTCCTTTGATATGTTGGTAAAGTTACTTGACGAAAATTATTATTATTATTACTTTTGATAAGTTGGTCAATATATTGTCCTTATTAAACTAAATATAACATATAGAAGTTGCCACGAAACCAACCTTTCACCGTTACCTACCAAACCATGTCCAAAAAATGTTAAGATTTAACACCTGGCACTAGAAAAATATATTAATTCATAGATGATTGATTATAGAATAGAAACGGCTGAAATGGTTACTAACGACGAGATAATTGTTTCAGAAAGAACGAAAATATGGGTATTCTAATATCAAATAACAATTCTTTCGGATAAAGCTCCGCGAGCCGGCTTGAAGGCCAAATAGCTTAATAAGCTCATCTGAATAAGTTATCTGGCTTGCAAGCTAGCTCGCAAGAAGCTTTAGCCCCGGGTAGCGTTCAAAATTATTCAACTATTCGCAACAGGATTCCGATATAAAAGTAAATAGTTCAGTTGTATCAAAATGTTACTTTTGATAAGTTGGTCAATATATTGTCCTTATTAAACTAAATATAACATATAGAAGTTGCCACGAAACCAACCTTTCACCGTTACCTACCAAACCATGTCCAAAAAATGTTAAGATTTAACACCTGGCACTAGAAAAATATATTAATTCATAGATGATTGATTATAGAATAGAAACGGCTGAAATGGTTACTAACGACGAGATAATTGTTTCAGAAAGAACGAAAATATGGGTATTCTAATATCAAATAACAATTCTTTCGGATAAAGCTCCGCGAGCCGGCTTGAAGGCCAAATAGCTTAATAAGCTCATCTGAATAAGTTATCTGGCTTGCAAGCTAGCTCGCAAGAAGCTTTAGCCCCGGGTAGCGTTCAAAATTATTCAACTATTCGCAACAGGATTCCGATATAAAAGTAAATAGTTCAGTTGTATCAAAATGTACATCAAATTAGAAAAAGCAAAACGCCTCTCACACAAGCCCATGATCGATTTATCGAGTTTACAAAATTGAATTTCAAGTTTGGTTCCGATTAATCAAATAACAGTTCATTACCAAAATATTGGCAGACGCAATAATAATTTTATCTAACGCTTATGATCCCAACATTGACAAATTTATCAACAGCACCACCACATGGGCTTACCTTTACCCAAATTTTCTCCAACAATTCAAATTTCAATGACCTCTTTATCAGAAAGCCTATTGGTCCTATTAATAATCACAGGGCTCCAGGTTAAAAATATATAATCATTAACTGGGTAAGTAAGTATAAATGTACGGATTTTTTAATAGTCTTTTTGTTATTGGAAATAAATAATAAATCAATATAAAATATATACGGATTAATTGTACATTAATTTATTTATAAATATAAAGAAAAGGAAAATATAATAAAATTTATAATGTCGCTGACGATGATGATGATGATCCTGTTGCTTTTTGTAAAACTGATCGCTTCACCTTTAATTCATGTTCCAATTTATCAGCATGTTTCTTTAAATCTAATAGATTTTGTATTGCCTTTTGTAATTCTGTCCATTTACCACAAACTGTTTCAGTTGGCATATTTGGTCTAATGCCAAGACCAAATTCTTGTAGAGCTTTTTGTACTTTTACTGTGAGATTTTGTTTTGGTACTGGTATTTTCTGACTTCTAACTACTACACCTGGTGCAAATTTTTCTCTTCTTGATATTATAGGTACAAGAACTTCAACTGGTGAGTGTGCTTTTTTAAAAGTACATTGTTATTATTATTATTATTATTATTGTACTATTAATTTTTTCTCATATAATTATTTAATTAATCAATTAATATAAATAATACCTTCTAATACTATAGAGCCTGCTGAAGACGCTGAAGTACGACGGCTCTTTTTTGTTGCTAATTCATTT